GTGGATGCCACCTTAAACACTGTCATCATCCCTGCTGGGGTCATTCCCCTCCCCACTCCCCCAACCCCAGTACTCCACCCTGAGAACCAATGACTGGAGATATATGGAAACACCGTGGTTCCTGCCCTCCAGTGGCCTGTGACCTCGCTGGGGAGAATGACAGCTAGATGAGGTGATAGCAGGAGGCAGCCAATGCCAAGGGGAGACATGTTAGCAGAACTTAACGCTGCAGGACCAGAGCCGGGATTCCTCCAGGAGGAGCAGCCAGCACAAAAGTCCAGAGGCAGGACCTGTGGGCAGCCAGGAGGACACAGACAGCTCCTGAGGCTGGGGACGGAGGTGCACCTGGCACCTGCCGACATCAGACAGAGGGGCCACAGTCGTGGATTCCACAGGAACCTATTCAATTGCCAATAAAGAACCTGCACAGAATTCTTTTTCTTTTCTGCAACTTTATTGAGTTATAGTTCATTTCTTTTATGGAGTTATAATTCAAATGCCACAAAATTTACCCATAATCAAGTAAATAACTCAGTTTTTACAGAATTGTGCATCCATCACCAGGATCAATTCTGCTACCTTTTCACTGCCCCAAAGAGAAACCCTGTCCCCCTTTAGCTGTCACGCTGCAATCCTACTCCTGGGCATAGAAATAGAAGCAGCAAAGGGTTATGCTGTTGTGTTTTTTGTTTTTAGTAAAGGGTTTTTTCAGTAGATTACTGAGGAAATTAGAATTCCACTTTTAAAAGATCGCTCTCTGACCCACCACTGCCAAGGTCCAGCAAGGTGCATGTGGACATACACATCAACTCTTCATCCTTGTGATGGAAGTGAGGACCAGCCTGCAGCCCCAGGACCCGCATTGCTCGCCGGCTACAGCCACTCACATGTGCACACCTGCACACCCAACCTACCGGGCCCAGATCCTGGCCTCCTGCCCCAGAAAGAACCACCGCAGGAGGACTTAGCCTCGGGCAACTTCTCGCCTTGGGTTCTGCTTTCTGGTCAGTGGACTTGGCAGATCTGTCCTTGGAGGGTTCCTCTCTTGGCTTGTTTGTTACTGCTGAGGGCTCACCTCCGTCCCTCCGGATGCCCCTTCCTTACCTAATCCATCAACCCTACCGCTCCCCCTTCCCTGGATGGACAAGCCTGGGTTTATCAACAACCGCAGTGCGATCCCACAAAATGCTCAGTGGCATGGAGGTCCCTGTAATCCTCCCAAGGTCCCAGCAGGGAAGAGTCTATTGTCCTCATCTTAGAAATGGGGAAAACGAAGCTCAAGAGAGTTCATGTGCTGGTCCTCGGGCTACACCACAGGGAAGTGGCAGAGCCCGGCTTGCACCAGGAGGGCTGGAGAGCGGCTCTGGGACTGTTTCCACACACATAACAGACCTCAGATGTTGCACCTTGGTCAAATGTGATGATTTTTTTTCCCTCATCTAATAACAGGTTCAAGGGAAGGACTGGCAGGGAAATTTGCAATGTCAACCAAGTCTCAAGCTCCTGGCATCTTTCTGCTTTGTAATCCTTAGCACAGGACTTTCATCTTCATGATCAAAATTCCTACCCTACACTCTGTACCATTTTATCAGCAAAACAATAGTTTTCTTAGAAGTCCCATTTGGGAAGTGTCTTAGTCCTTTTTCTGTTGCCTGAGACCAGGTCATTTATGAATAATAGAAATTCTGGACGCAAAGCCCAAGTGCATGCTGCTGCCGTCTGATTAGCATCTGGTGAGGGCCCTCCTGTGGCACCCTAACACTGCAGAGGTGTCCCTCGGCCAGACAAAGCCAGCTGCTAGCTCAGGTCTCTCTCCTTACAAAACCACTCACACCATCATTGGGGCCCCACCCGCATGCCCTCATCTAATCCTGATTACTCCCAAGGTCCCACCTCCAAATACAGTCTCCTGCTAATTGAGGGATTCAGTTTCTGATCCATGAACTTTTGGGGGGACATATGAACCACGGCAGTAGAACTCAGTCACATCTCATTGGCTCCTAAAGAACTGGAACATCCCTGCCACAAACAAAATTAGTGTCTGTTTCCATGAGAAGGAGGAAGAATGGAAGGGACTCATGGTGTCCACGAGCTGTCCTTGCAAAACCGCCTGGCCCCTCAAAATAACCCAGCCCCTCTGGCCCCTCCCATCCAGCCTGTATCATACCAAGCTCCACTGCCCGGCCACCTCCCTCCACTAGGGCTACAGCACGAAGCAGAGCTTCTGGGGAGCTTCTCTTGGCCCTAGGGAAGGTGCAGAGATCCCGCCTGACCTGACGGCCGCCATGACTGGCCCTGAGTCACCCTGCTCTGGTTTTCCCACACATTTCCCAGCACACTATAAATAAACAAAGCCATTCAGGGGTATGCAGAGCTTTACAACAGCTCCAGGAATTGAGTCTGACATGGTGATATTCACTTGAAGTAATCCAGGTCCCATCCAGCCTGGATGAAGTCATTTGTCCTGACCATTTTATAAGCTGCTCCTTATATAATGGATCCCCAGGTCTTGCTGAACCCAGGACCACACTTCTGACAGTCCGCCATGTATTGCACTCTGCAGACCTGGATCTGTCTGTCTCCTCTGCAGGCTCACAGTCTGTTGGGGCTGCTTCTTATACACTGGGACTAAGTTTTTCTGGAAAAAGAAATGAGGGTGATGTGGTCATTTTAATGAGTTCAGAAGCCGGTAAAAAGCCCTACACTGCAAAGAGTTAGAAAGCCCTGGGAATATGCTCGGCTCGGCTTCCCAGCTCACATAGATGGAGTCCAGTGTGCTGATTTGCAGGCCGGCAACCTCAGACCAAAAACCCCTTCAGAAACTGCAGATGTCACGAGGGCTCAAAGATACATTATGCATGAATCCCCACCTCTAGATGAATGTGAAAGATCTGAGCAGCATTGAGCCTGAGGCTGGGGAAGGGGAGCAAGGGGGCACATAGGGGAGATGGGAGAAAAGGAACCCATTAGATGTCCATAAGACACAAAGAGCAGTAGAAACTTCTTGTCCCCCATCATAGCAGGGACTTCTGTCTTGTCCCCCACTCCCTCTGGCCAAGTAGGTTCATTTGACAGAAGATGTTTGACCAAGTAATATATTTACAAAAGACAGTGCTCACCAGGGCTCAGTCCCCCACCCCAGCAGCCACATGCTCCCAAGGCTTGGTCAACTGGAAGTCACAAAGTATAAAGCCACCTCCTCACATCCCACCCTCTAAACAAGGCACCGAGTGACCCTCCACTAGAGGTGCGCTCTCTGGGCGTGGCCTGCCTGCTCTGCTCTCTGAAGATGAAACCTACCAGGAGCTCTGGAAAGCATTAAAACATCCCAGGCATTCAACAAACCCCCTTCAAAATTGAGACCCCAGGGAGTAAAACCTAATGGGCACAAGAAGGACTAGGTGATAAAAATAAAAGTGCAGAAGCTTCCAGAATCCCAGGCTCAAACTCTGATGCTTGGAGATTTCCTGACCATTCCTCAGTCTTCTCATGAGGCTTGGATGAGTGGAGATTAAAAGCCATTTCCAGCATTAATTCCACCGGCTCTGGTGCACTCGAGTGCTGGTATTTTTAGATATGAGTTTGTTTTTTTTTTTTCAGAAAATGTGAATTAACCAAAGGTGTTCGCGGTAATAATGTTGAGTGGGTGCCATAAGCTCTACAGAGCACTTTAACCTGTTAACTCGGCTAATCCCTAGGGCAATCCTATTATGGAGTAATCTTAAAAGCTTCAACCTACTGATGAAAAACCAGAGTACGGAGAGATAAGTAATCAACCACTACTTTCCCTCAGTGTCTCAGAGGCTTCTGTAGTGTAGCAAGTCCACACCGAACTGCTTTCACCCCAGTGCATCCCAGCCAAACCCCATCCTGTCCCTGTCTTGCCCTGCTCAGAAAATGGCAGCTCCACTCATCCTAATATCCAAGCAGAAAGACCTCACATTCCTCCCACCTCCAGTGCATCATGAGCCGTGATACCTTAGCTCCAAATACCTCCAGAACCCAAGAGCCTTCCTAATTCTCCCCATTCGACTCCGTCTCTGTTCCCCAGCATGCGCTCTCTCTCTCTCTCTCTCTCTCTCTCTCACACACACACACACACACACACACACACACACACACACTTTCCCGTACCTGGAATGATCCTTTGCAAGTGTTAAGTCGAATTATATCATTCCTCTGCTCAAAAGTCCTGATTCTGACCTACCATCTCCTCCAAGACCTCCCCAACTCCCAGCCTCTTGGGTCCTCTCCTCTCCCCTCTCCATCCCTCCTCCCCCACCCCACACCAGCCACACTGGCCCTTCTCTTCCTCAAGCTCTCCAGCCCCATCCTCTATCATCCTTGTCTCGCCTGCCTTCCCTGGACAGTGACTTCCTTTCTCATTTCATTTGGGTACCTGCACCTTATCACAAAGATTTTTTTTCTAACTAAATAAAATGGCACCCCTTCCATCCATCTGTGCCGCAGTCCGGCTGCAGCAAAATAACCGGGGGGTGACGAACAACTTGTGTACGTTGATACAGCAGGAGTGGGAGCCGTTTATTGTAGGACAGGAGGGGTATTTATACATTCCACACAGCTTATCTAATTAACATAAACTAGATACAGCAGTCAACCAATAAGGAATCTCCACACTTAATGGCTCGCTGGCGTTACTTCACAAACCACTCCCTCTGGCATTTTGCCAGGCGCCATCCTGACTTGTTTACAGACTCTAACATTTCCCCCTTTTGTTTAATTTAAATAACGACCATAGTGGTTTTAACACAAACACCATAAATAATCTGCTACAAGCAGAAAGGGAGGATACAAAATGCCACAATACCAAGCCAATTGATGGCTCCATGCAAGAAGCCCTTGGAAAAATTATACCAGCAATGACACCGTTAGCAAAGATACCTGAGTTACAATTTGTTATAGATTACAGTTTGTTGTCTCAGTCCAGGTAAAGCAGTGTCTCAATAGATTAACTCACAGTCCAAGTAAATCACAGTCCAGGTAAGTTCTGCAGGCAGCTAGCTTAAATCACAGTCCAGGTAAGTTCTGCAGGCAGCTAGCTTGATCCAAAGTCTCGTCCGGTTTTCAGCAACACTGGAAATTTTCCACCCTCGTTTTCACCGGCACTGGGACGAAGATAGGAATTCAGCAATGATCTTAAAGAAAATCCTGTAGTATTCCGGCAGGCACTAAGAAAACAAACTTCTGGAAAATTTAGTACATTATCTCAAGGTTTTTTACATTTGAAATAGGCCTTAATGGTGCTCATTACTCATTAGCTTTCAGGTGTGGGAGAGCCATTGTAGTTACTGGCCTTGGAAATGATCAAACTTCAGGGACACCATGTGCGTCCTCCGCCCAGCTGCATCGGGCAGCCCCAGACGGGGAGCGTCCCGGACTCCAGCTGCCACTGGGCACAGGGAGCAAAAGCTCTAACACATCTGCGTCCTCCTTGCTTGGCTTACGTACCTTCTTAGCATACGGCTCCCCGTGACACATTTCATACTGCATACTTATTTGGGCCCCTCCCCTCCTCCCAAAGATAAGCTCTATAGGACAAAAACTGTTTACTGTGCACAGAGTTGAATGCCCAGCCCTAGGTCAGTACCTGGCTTTTAAAAAGTCACTCACCTTCCCAGCCATGCCACTCACTGGGGGCTGGGGGTATCTCAGTTGGTAGAGTGTGTGCCTTGCATGCCTGGATTCAATCCCCAGCAACTCTAAAAGATAAAATAAAAAGCCACTCACCAGATTCAGGTGGTCTTCATTACCCAATCTAATCCTATTCTGAATGTTTTGATAGCAAAAACCCATGTTTTATTATATTAAAGGGGCTAATAATGTATTCTCACCTAAGTTTGTTAATCACCTGTAACACAACCTACCGTGGATTTCTGCATGATACAGGCATTTAAAACACTAATTACCTAATTATTTGACTCTTGATGATCTCGTTAGTGGGTGTGTTTGTGCGTAATATGTACCTGAAAGAATTACATTTTTCTCCTATCCTGAAAGGAATCATATACTGCGATGTAAGCAAACAATAAAATGACTCATTAAAGATAGATAATGAATGCAAATACAATTATCAAAATAAACTTTTTCTAAGTGATTATTTACTGAATGAAGCGCTACTTGTGAGAAATGGAAGTCACTGTCACCCACAGGATGTGGGGAGAGAGGTCAAATGAGCGGGGAGGAGGGACGGAAACCAGGCAGCCCAAGGGACACTCCTCCAGAGCCACAAAGGGCTCTGTCTTGCGCATGCGCTTCTCTTCTTGTCTTCTGGAGGCGGGGCTGATGGATAGCTGTCAATCACATTCCCAGCCATACCAAGGCCCTGGGATTCAAAAGCAACACCCAAAATGGACATGGGCTTTAACTGTGTGCCTATACTTTATTACCCACATTGGGGTAATTTTGAGAGTGAGAGAAAAAAATGAATAAAATATATAATTTTTGAAGTATGCATTTACAGGTTGACAAATTGGTTTATATAATGATAGGTCTATAAAATAGCTGATGTGTTAAGTTATTTTCAAAAGTAAAAGTCACAAAACAATCAATGTACATACATCAAAGCAGAAGTTTTGTATTTAATTTGATTTGTCTGATCATTGAAAAGGAATATAAGCAGAATATCATTTTTAGTTCCTAATTGTTGTAATCAGTTTGAGAGTCACATCTCTACCTAACACCAAGTTGTTGATATTTTTCTAAAGAATGAATATTAATATATGTTTGTAAATTTTTTTATCATGCATTTGCCTGCAATCTTTTTCAAAGTTGAGTTTTATATTTTGTAAATTTGAAATTATTGACATCTTCCACTGACTCTTCTCAGCTGACCATGGTATTTTCAATTAAAAAAAAAATTGAAAATCTTTTTCTGCACGTGTTAAGTAAGATACCTCATAAGTTAAGAATTAATTGTCATAACTGAAGGATGGTCTCAGTTCTATTTGTTGTTGTTGTTGTTGTTGGAATGTTACTAGTTCAGTCTAAATCTTTTCACAGATTCTGTCATTTTTTTTTCTTTATTCAGAGAAACTTTCTTTGACAAATATTTTATAAGATAAAACTCACCAAATAAGTTATCTCTATTTGGGCTTCTAAAAATGTTTTGCTAAATTTAGATGCTAAAACACCACAGGGATTCACAATTTCACCCTATTTTAATATAGAATACATCCGATTAACACATAAAATCTTCTTTAAAGTTTTCTTCCCACAAGTCAAGACATCACAAAACCTAATGACTTAATCTCACATTGAAAACCTTTCATTTCTCCAGTTCCTCTTCTGGTTTTGTAAGCAGAAACTCCGTTTTCAATAATGGCATTTGTAATAATTACATTACATCAAGAGCTGAAGTCTTTGGCTCACCATAGCTTGAATTCTTGATGAAGAATTTCCAAGGGATTTTGAGCAAAATGGAAAAAAAAAATTTAGAGGAGTCATTTATTTTTAAAAAAAAAATAATAAAAGGCCAATACATACCATAGCATGCCTAGGTTGGATGGTAAAGTAGCCTTTCAGACATTTCTAAATCTGAGCACATGCGGAGAAGATAAAAGGCACATCCTGCCAGGCTGCCACACTGTTTCAACTCGGCATCGTCTCCATCATAAATATTTTGCCTTTCAATTTCTCTGTGTATAAGTAGAAATATTTATGTCTGTCAACTATAGCTTCCTTTTTGTTGGGAGACTCTCACAGTTTGTTTGGATGCAGTTACGAACTATGAACGCATTGCGTCTAATTCCAAATACATTTCTGTTCCATAGATTTCTTAATTTAGTAATAACACTCCACCAAAATCTATATCTGCAGTACCTCTGCTGTTTCTGCTGTTGAGTTGTCTTAAAGTGAAGTTATAAATCACGATAATATTAGACGCAGTATCTTCGACAGAATGAACTTCCAAAAGCTTTGCCTGAGTTCATGGATTGGATAGAGAGAAAAAAAAAAATCAAACCGTCACTAAGTTTCTTTGGAAGAAACTGACGTAAAACTGCATCATTCAACTATCCACACGTGAAGTTCTTCTGCTAATGGACCTATCTCATTAATGACTATTGCTTTCCTTGTATGACCAAGAAAAAGTGAAAACAAAATTAACTTAGGAGAATAATTATCCTGCTGGGCACAGGATGCTCCATTGCTCCATTGCTCCAGGCCCAAGGTGAGGGGCACACCTATAACCCCATAGGCTGAGGCAGGAGGATCGCAAGTTCAAAGCCAGACTCAGTAATTTAGTGAGGCCCTAGGCAACTTAGCAAGACCCTGTCTCAAAATAAAATATATTTTAAAAGGGCTGAAGATATGGCTCAGTGGTTAAGCCCTGCTGGGTTCAATTCCCACTTCCAAAAAGAAGGAGGAGAAGAACCATCTTACCTAACACTTCCCAGAGTGACATACAAATGTAACAGCACAGGTTAAGGCATCATCCCCAGCTACGATTTTCTTCTTCTAATAGTTACTGATTTTTGAATTAGGTTTTTAAGATTTTTGTCTTCTGGGTTTACCTGTGGTCAGCTGTATTATTGCAGTCCCTAGAGTAGTAACAAGCATTTGTAGGACAAGCATTTGGGTACGTTTCACAGCCACCATCAACATTCCTGAGAAAAGATTATTTAGTACTTAATTTTTCATTAAGAGTGCATCCTTTTTCAGCTGAAAGGATTTGGTTTTCTTTTGAAAAAAAAAAAAGAAAGAAAGAAAGAAAAGAAATCCAGTATTACTACTCAAAAAGGTAAATACAGTCATTCCTAGGTATCTGACGGGGATTACTTCTAGGTCTCCCCACAAATATCAGTCTGCAGATGCTAAGTCCCTAATATAAAATGGCATACCATTTGCACATAACCTATGCACATCTTCCTGTATACCTTGAATCTCCACTAATACAATGTCAATGTTATGTAAATAGTTGGTGTATTGTTTATGGCAAGAAAAAAGTTTGTACATGTTTAATTCAGTCACGATTTTTGATTCCAATATTTTCAACCCAAGGCTGAATAAGCCCATGGATATGGAGCCTGTGGATAGGAGGGCTGACTGCACAGGGATTGTAGTTGTGCACTCTCCAATGGATGACCTGTTCTGTTGGGGTAGGGACTGCAAAGCACTTGGGTAGTGTGTCTACACTCCATGAGGGAGGTTTCTGCCGGTTTCCGGCATGCACTTCACATGTGGGAAACTCAAAACAGCTCCTGTTTCCGCCGGATGGCAATGACTGCATGTCCTGGTGGCTCTGTGATCTCAGACAGGCTGAGGCTGGGGCCACACACAACTGGCTGGTACCCACGTTGCTGGGGGGTGGGGGAGGATTGGCAAGTTCTCCCACCAGGAACTCAGGTCAGAAGTTCACTGTCCCGGGCCATGTGCAAGTGAAATGCTCTCCCCAGGCCCTCGGAAGGAATCGACTGTGCCCACGCCTTGGCCAGAACTGCAAGAGAATGCATTCCTGCTGCTTCAAGGGACTGTTCTGTGGGGCTCCCTGTGTCAGCCCAGGGGAAACAGCCCCCCGCCCCATCTCCTGAAGCGAGCCCACCAAAGTCCTCCATTCCCATTGTAAAGGACCACATCCTTCTGGCTTGGCAATTGGCTCGTGTGAGTTTTAAAACCTTTGGATTTCTGGGCACCGTGGTACACACCTGTCATCCCAGAGGCAGAAGGATCACAAGTTTGAGGCCAGCCTCAACAACCTAGCAAGACCCTATCTCAAAATAAAAATAAAAACGGCTGGAAAACTACCCCTGTGTTCAATTCCTAGTACTGAAAAAGAAAGAAAGAAAGAAAGAAGGAAGGAAGGAAGGAAGGAAGGAAGGAAGGAAGGAAGGAAGGAAGGAAGAAAAAACTTGGTGCTGTTCTGGAACCCATCTGACATAATAACAATGACAATGGCTCTTGTGACACAAAGCCACTTTGGTACCAACTTGTCTATGGGGAGGTTAAAAAGATACAGTGGGTTCTCAGTCACGAGGGGGATATGATTACTTTCAAGACACAAGAGCTTCTGGGTGACCTCAAGCAGATGACACAAAGCTATGTGAGCCTGTCCCCAAGTCCTAAACCCCCCTCCCTCCACCCCCCAAATCCTACTTTCCCTTAGCACATAGCTTAGTCAGACATCCATGAATTCATGGCTGCCCAGGGGCTTGTGTCTTTCAGTCATCTCCAAATTCATATCTCCACACCAGATGCCCCCTTTAATTATTGCCTCAATCTATGCTTTAATAGAAAATAGTAAAGTGAGGAAGAATCTGAAGACTTGGAAAGAATGAAGAAGGTCCCTACACAGTGTGGAACAGAGGACAGTTTAACATGGAGGATCAGTCACCGCCCTTCAAATGCCCTTGGACATCCTCTACCATTCTGGATATCCCACGCCACCTTTCTTTCACCATTTCAACCTCTGAAATATCTTCATTGTATGACCTCAGACATGCTGTTTAAGCTATATATATGCCTCAGTGTCTTCATTTGGAAAATAAGGACAATAGTATTCAACCATAAAAAGGAATGAAGTACTGATACACACCACATCAAGGATAAACCTCAAAACCATTAAGCTCAGATGCAAAAGGTCATCTGTTATATGCTTTCATTTATACGAAATGTCCAGAGTTGGTAAATCCATAGCAACAGGAAGCAGACTGGTGGTTGCCAGGAGGTGGGGGAGAAGAACGAGGACTAAGTGCTTTGTGAAGGTTCTAGGTTAAATTCTGCTCTCCAGAAAAGATATGTGGAAGTCCCAGACCCAAATACCGGAGAATGAGACTGAATTTGGAAAGAGGGTTTTACAGAGGTAATCAAGTCAAGACTGTGTCATTAAGGTGCTTCCTAATCCAATATGACTGGTGTCCCTAAAAAAAGGGGAAAGTTGGACTCATTGGGAAGATAATATGCATATGCTCACTTGGAGATGGAGGCAGAGAATGGAGTGACACACTGGAGGCCAAGGACGACAAGGATGGCTGGCCACACTAGAAACTGGGAAGACATAGGGAAGGTTCAGTCTCAGAGGGAGCAGGGTCCTGTGGATTCCTTGATTTCAGACTTTCAGCACTCAGAATTGCAATACAATAGATTTCTGCTAGGCCTCCCAGTTTCTGTTACTTTGTTACACTAGCCCTAGGAAACTAATATGAGAGATACGTTGTTTCCTTTGCGGATTGACAAAAGTGTTCTAGAACTAGATAGAAGCAGTGGATGCACAATGTCCTGAAAGTATGAAATGCCACTAAATTGCTAATTTCCAATGGTTATATGAATTTCACATCAACAAATGCACGCATGTACACACAGAACCCTTGCCACAGCGTGGTGTTGGGAGCATTCAATGAGCTAACACACAGGTCTTAGAAACTGTCCCCAGGAGGCTGAAACCACTCCATAAGAGTTACGTGGTGTGTTAGTTTTTTGTCATTGTGACCAAAATACCAAATGGGACAACTTAGAGGAGGAAGAGTTTATTTTGGTTCATGATTACAGAGGTTCAGTCCACGGTAGGCCAACTCCATTGCTCCAAGCCCAAGGTGAGGCAGAACATCATGGCGGAAGGTTATGATGGCGGGAAGCTGCTCTGTTCGTGGCAGCTGGGAAGCAGGGAGAGCAAGAAGGGAAGGGGCCACAGGAAAGATGCACCCTTCCAGGGTATGTACCTAGTGACCCACTTCCTCCAGCCACACCCCACCTGCCTACAGTTCCAGTTTACTCCATTCAAAATAGGATGGGCGGATTAGATGACAGCTGTCACAGTCCATTCATTTCCCCTCTGAATATTCCTGCATTAACACAGCAGCTTTGGGAGGACACTCATACCCAAATCTTAACACATATTATTACTATTTCCAAAACTGTCTCTCCAAAGGTTCCACTTATGGCCATCAAATAAGCAACAACCAGTTCCCTCAAATTTGTTTTCTACTCATGCAGAGCGCCTGAGCTCTCTCCTGTCAAACCACATTGTGTGAGGACTGAGTCTGAAACACCTTCTCTTTTCACATCACATCATTTTCCCAAGTTCCCGACCTACAAGGTGAATTTTAGCCCTCATGCCAAATGTTGGGGTTTTTTTAAAAGAAAGAGTAAGAGAGAGAGAGAGAGAGAATTTTTTTTTAATGTTTATTTTTTAGTTTTCGGCGGACACAACATCTTTGTTTGTATGTGGTGCTGAGGATCGAACCCGGGCTGCATGCATGCCAGGCGAGCACGCTACCGCTTGAGCCACATCCCCAGCCCCCAAATGTTTTTTTTTAAATCATATTTTGCCCAAATTCATAAAAATTGCAATTATTTTCTTCTAATTTCACACAGAGTTTGATATAAAAATGAGCCCATTTTACCACTACCAACAGGCAAGCACTGTCTGATCTTTCTTGGGGACTGGAAAAGGGGTGGCACATGGAAGAGATGACTTCACTCTGTCCTCCCACCACTCACCTGTGTTTCCCGAACTCGTGATAGTGAAGCCAGCAATCCCCAGATCAGACGCCTAACCTGGGTTCCAACCAAGTGGGTTTACTATCCTCTGTAGGTTTATCACACGAATAGAAAGCCCAAGTGCATGTTGGCAGTCTATTGAAATGATTCAGGACCTAGAAGAACTAAAGAGGATTTAAAAAAAAAAAAAAAACACAGAACAATTACTTGATGATTTTAAAGGCTTTTTGCTCCCTACCCCGCCACCACCTCCCAGAATTACAGAATAAAAAGATGGAAAGCTTTACCGGGTACTGAGAAACCAGCCCTGGAGAGATGGTATGCTTGCTGCAAGTGGGAAATTGATCACGGGAGGAAGGGGAAGAGAAATTGTGCAAGGGAACTGGAGCAATGAAAGGTAAAATTCAAGGAGACACGTCAGCCCACAGCAGCCGAATTGAATCAAGCACGCCATAGATTTGGGGCAGGCTTTTTTAAAAAAAAAAAAAAAATACATGCCTCAAATTACATCTTACGGAATTGTTGCTAATACTTGTCATAACATGCTGCATCTTCAGGAAGGCCCTTTTCGGTTATTAATATTTTATTGTTTTTACAGGAGGCACTGTGGGAGAGGGTGCGTGGCAGTGAAGTGGTATCAGCAAGCTCTCAGCCGCACATCCAGTGCTAGCTGTTTAGAAGGATGCTGTTGCAAGTGGGATACTGATTTATATTTGAGATGCCTTTCTTCTTCACACATATTTTCTCTGGTGTCTCCATGTTCTTCCCTCTCCACTTGGGAATCAGTTAACCCTATAATCAAACACTCCTGGGCAAGCCACGGAAAGAGATAGCTGTTTCCCAAACAATAGTCAAAGGAGAAGAAATCTACCAAATGCGCCATTCTTATTAACAGGTTGCTGATATATATATATATATTTTCTTCCCATCCTATAGGATAAGTTAAGTGAGAAATTCTATGAGTCAAATAAATAATGATGGTGATGATAAAGAAATAACAATTAAAATAATTGGGGCTAACATTTATGGAACACCCAGGCCAGCCTTGTGCGGAGTGATCTATATGATTTATCTCACTTAAACCTTCCAACCACCCTATAGGGTCAATGTCATTATCCCCATTTCACAGATGAATCAACTGAGATTGAGAAGATACTGCCAAGTTCATAAACTATTAAATGGAGCCAGCCTGCCGATTTAGGTTTATCTGATTCTAAAAAGTGTTAATTAAAATCAAAGTTTTCACACGCCCAAGGAACAGGCCCCGGACTCTGTCTCAGTGGATTCTCATTCTTTTTGTCAAAGGAGATAATTTTGACACAGCAAATAAACTGTAGCTTCGTTGCTGCCCCTCCCAGCCAGGTCTGTGCTCTGGGATGGAAAGAGCTCACGTTCTTCTTGCTAAACTTGGGATTATTATTATTATTATTATTATTATTTTTAATGCCAGGAGATATAAAGAGGTGAATGTAGGTATTGTGGAGACAAATAATAAAAATGGAACTCCTGACTGTGTTGGACGGAGTGCCTGCTAGAGTTAGGGAAGTGAAAGCAGAGTGTCTCTTCTTAGATCATTAAAACTGTGGTCCTACAAGACATGAAGTTGGACACTTGGTGGATCATGCATTTTTAATTCTCATCCTGTAGCACCAGAGGCTGGCAACAGCCACAGCATGGGGCCCTAAACTCCTTGCAGTGTGCCAGAGCGAGCAAATAAGCTCAGAAAACCTGGGAACATGGCAGAGTCGATTCGTTTGATCAGTGGATTTCTTCTTAATGGCAACTGTTTGCAAACTGACCCCTTCCCCTATGCTACCACTCCCACCACACACACACACACACACACACACACACACACACACCCTATGCATTGCACATACAACACAACACATCATGAATCACATACACAATACAAAGCACACACAACACATACAAAACACAACACACACACACATCACACAACACACGGCAGACGGGAGAGACAATTTGGGAATATCTTCTTGATAGGTGGGGTTGTCTTGGGAAGGCACTGAACTCCTCCTTGGTCAAATTGAAGCTGCTGCGTTATCCTGCTGATGAGCTCGGCACCTGGCAGGACAGGAGCAGGTCCCAACCTGGCCCAAGTGGCTGTGCAGCCAGAGATAGCAAGACTCCACCTGGGCTGTGGGCAGCTTGTGTTTCATTGCACCTCTAAGCTGGTAGAGACCAGGGGCGTTCAAGGCCAGCGCTGTTGAACTCCAACTTCTGGTGCCACCGCCTCCTTCTCCTCGGGCAGAGCCTTGGAATCTCCTCTCAGGCCTACTTTCAAACACTCGCCAAAGTCTGAGGCTTGCTCAGGCCCTGCTGTGGAGGTGTAAATTAGGACCATCTTTGCAGACAGCAATTTGGCTCCGTGTATCAAAAATATCAATAATATCCTCTCTGTGAACCACACAAAAATATAATATGTACAAGAGATTTATGCACAAAAATGTTAATTACAGAATCGTTTAAAACTGGAAGGAAAAATACAGTGCCCAATTATGGGAGATTGTTTGGGTAAATAATAATCCGCCCATTCATGGAAGGATATTTTTGTCATTAAAAATGATTATGATATGCTAAAAGTGAAAAATAGCTATAAATTCATTTACAGCATAAACTCTGCCATACAAAATGCCACCCACAGAATGAGGAAATGCTGAGTGTAGTTATCTCTAGGTGGCAGAATTATTCATATGTAAAAAAAAAAAATGAAGGAAATAATACTTTTCTCTTAGATGTTTTCCCTCATTGTCCAGATTTTCTGTGGTGAATGTTCATGTCACAAGGCACCAGGGTTAGTAGTGAAGTACATTGTGAAATCAGAAGACACAAGCTCATATCCTGACACTCCAGAGCTGTCACTTACAGCCATGTGACCTTAGTCAGGCACTTAATGTCCCTCAACCTAAGTTTCCTCATCAATAAAATGAGGATAATTTTGTTGATATGAGAAATAAATGAATTGGTATACACAGGGTATTTAAAGCAATGGCACAGACTAGATGCTCAATAACTATTACCTGTTAGTTATTACCTAATCATTACACATTTGGGGGAATGCCTACTATGTGCTAATGTTAGTTATGCACTATGGCCACAGACATTAGCTCCTTGTTCTTTAAGGAGGGAGAACAGACATGTAAGCAAATATTCACAATTCCATGGGGTAAGTTCTACCAGGAAGGGAGATACTAGGTGCTTCGGGGACATAGAAGACAGTCTTGCCATTCAGAACAAGAATTCCACTATCACAGGAGTTAGAAAGCCTAGCATAGGTCCCAATGGGACTTCACCTCCATGTCTTGAGCAACTTAGTGGGGGAAGCAGGTACCCACAGGATTCACCAGCCCCACGGGAAGGAGGTGGCAGATATCCAGCATCTTAACTCTGTGGACCACTTTGTGATCAGCAGGCTGCTCTTATCTGCACTACCCCCGTCTATTCTCACACGATAACCTGCAAGGCGAGTGATTTTTCATGAAAGCTTATGGAGATGAAGTGGGGTGGCCTAGGTGACTTAACTAATAAGAAAAACAGTAAGACACCAAGGCAGGTCTTGTAGGAGAGAAGATGATGTTGCACCAGAGATGCTATAGGAAGGACTGCTCATCAGGAGATGCTCATGTGCTGTGGCTTGCATCTGGAAAGCCCCCCAAGGCCTGTATGTTAAAAACTTGTTGGTCCTCAGCTGTTTGGTGCTCTTGGGAGGTGTTGGAACTCTTAGGAGGTGGCCTGGTGGAAGGAAGTCAGGCGGCTGGGGGTGTGCCCTTGAAGGAGACAGTGGTACCCTGGCCCCTCTCTTTGCTTCTTGGCTGCCATGAGGTGATCATCTACCCCCACCACAGCCTCTTGCCATGATGTAATCCCTCACCACAGGCCCAAAGGAAACAAGGCCAAGCCACCACGGACTGAAACCTCCAAAACTGTGAGCCAAAGATAAGTAAATCCTTCCTCCTTAAAAGTTGACTAACTCATTATTATTATTAGTCACAGTACTGGGAAGCTAATACATCGTGTTTTCATTCATCGACAATCTCTACTACTACAGTCACATGTCATTTAACATCAGGGATATGTTCTGGAGAAATACAAATTTTCATTGCACAGACATTGTAGAGTGTACTTAAACAAATTAAGATGGTGACGATGTCTCTAGGCAACATAATCTTATGGGACCACTGTCACATGAGCAGGCCACCATCAAGTGGGTCATAACTATGTATGATAGAGGAGGTCATAGGAGGAAGAAGAAGGAGAAATTAAAGAGATATTAAAAGAAGACTTTGATCCCACCCAACTTATATTGTCTACACAAAACTTAGGATCTGAAATATGTATCCTATAAATGTCTGTTTTTAAAAAGTGAATCTTCCACACCACAAAAGAAGTACAGGAGTTTGGTACACAGTGAATTGGTCGATAACTGGGAAAGGACCAACAGGAAATCTTAGAAAGAAACAGTTTGAGCTACCCCCAAAGTTCACACTTTTCATGGGAATTTGGAAATGAGACACAGACTGCGGGTAATCCAAGCCTTCATGTCTTCTCACTGCCTTGGGCTTGCATCTACCATCTGCCTTTGAGTCTTTCATTCATCCACGAGAGATTCTTAACTGTCCGGCTACTGAGAAACAGACTGTGGTCTAAAGAAAATGACGATGAACTTGAAGGCAGGTGACGTGAGATGGAACTTAGTTCAGCTGTTTATTAGTTGAATCACTTAACAAGCAACCTCAGGTCTTAGTGTCCTCCTTTATAATATGGAGATAGGAATACCTACCTCCTCTTGAGGTTGTTGGGAAATTAAAAGAAATTAAAATGTTTTTTTAATAGGATCTCACTAAATTTTTCAAAAAAAAATCCATCAAAATGTCTTGGCTTACATCACGTACTCTTCTGAAAAAAAAGAATGGATTTTTAGTGATGTCAACCACATTTTCACAGATCTGTCACACATCAAGAGTGGCATGTTCCTCATGGCTCAGTAAGCATACCAGTCAGTTGGACCATTGCTGAAGTCACCAACAGAGACAATTTTCACTGGAATCAGAACCAGCATTAAAGGAAGGCTTTGCATTATACCCAGCTCCCATGGATAAAGTAGGATGTGCACTGTTGTGAACACGGAGGTCAGTGACCTTCATCACTGTCATAGAAAACAGAGAGCTGCCACAGAATAAAAATAAACCTCTCCCGGGAGCGACATCTCTGTATGGAATCTGTGATGCTACGAAAGGCTCTTGATCAACACATCCTTCCATTGCCAAAACAGGCCTTCTTCATAGAGTAACAGCCAAGCAGACGCTTAGTGATTTCACCAACCCAACTCAGCGCACGTGATCCACATGAGTGATGAAACATGATTAGCAAATTATAGTTCTGGTGTTTTATTTTAAGGGCCCATAAAGAAAATGAATGGATTAAGCTCTTTTGCAGTTTTCAGTGGAATCATTTAAAAGGAATGGGTAAAGGCAAAACTGATGGCTAAAAGAAAAGGCACAAATAATGTTGCCACTTCACAGCCTATCAGCATAATTCATCTTTGCTTCCTGTCCCAAACTGTTGTGCAATATTGCTGCACATGGTTAAATACATGCTGTTTATTTCTGGCATCTTTATTTTAGCACTGGATCCATTGACCTGGAATTTTTTTTTTAATTATCTATAAAAATGACATGAGAGTCTTGTCTTAAAGTTTCACGTTGTGCTCTCCTTGTAAGTTAGGTGGCTTATAGAAATACCTTTGGGACTTGGGTGATGAACCAGGTGCCTCTTGTAGAAGGGGATGTCTCTCTTCACATCTATATTACAGTAAGCTGTGCTGTGGCCAGGTTCAGAGTTTTGGGACATCTCGTTAGAAATAAAAATGCTTTGCTACTTCAACCACCTGACATTGGTAACATAGCATTTGGTATTGCTGACATTGACATTTTACCTGTCTTCAGGTTTTGGGCTTTTAATTCTTACACCTCTCCCACAGCGTTGGTAATAAAGCAATTATTTTTCTACTGATGCAATTATAAAATTAGAGAAGCATCCCTATGAAAATAAATTTATCCCTGAAGTGCAATTTTAAAACACATTTCAGAATGTGGCACAAATTTTAAACATATATTTCAAAAAGTAAAAATGCTCTTTGATGAATCACAGTATTCAAACTAGGTTTACAAGAAGGGAGAAGGAATCGGACTTGGGTTTGAATTCAAGCTCTACTGAATACCAGGCATGAGATAGGGGGCAAATAATTTACAATTGCAAAGGTAAATTTGAAAAATTAGATTAAGAATACTTACTTTAGCCAAGCATGATGGCACATGCTTGTAATTCCAGATACTTGGGAGGCCAAGGCAGAAGGATTACAACTTCAAGGCCAGCCTGGGCAATTTAGTGAGATCCTATCAAAAAAAAAAAAAGACTTAATTTAATTGCTTTATAGCATCATGTTATGGATTAAAGAACACAATCATATCTGGTTATGATATGTTTTTAATGAGTGCTTCCCAAATTGAATGGATGGCTAAAAACGAGCTAAAAAAGCCAAGTGCTAAAATTGCCATTGATTGGCAAAGTGCTGCATACAATGTTAGCATTGATGAAAACAAAATTGTTTTCAGTTTCAGAATATTTTTTAAGTGCAAATCTCACATTGTCCATTCTTTTAAAAATCTTTATTGACTTTTTTTCAAATTGCACATATAATACAAGGCTATACGAAAATCAAACCCATCAGAAAAACAAGATACAAATCATGGAAGTTACCCATAATTATCAAATCCATAATTTCTGAGCCTGAATTGAAACCCAAGACCAATTAGGGTGACTCTCCATGCTGTGTTGCCTGAAATCGTAACTCTGTGTGCCTCTCATCCTGGAACAATTATGAATAACATTCACTTCACTCTCAAACTGTCCCTGTAGAGATGATAAAAATGTGGTTCCTGACTCATAATCCACCTCCAAAAGAGAAGCCCACTATCCATCATTAGGTGCATAGCCCCTCTTCATTTTTATTCTTAAAAAGTATTATTTCTTTTTCACAATTTATTTTAACATATCTTCTCATTTTACAAATTGAGCTTTTATAGAAACAACACCCATATGTGTGAACTTTCCTGTTAGATATTAGACTGCATAATTTTGCTTGAAATGTGTTTTTTTGCATTTCCAAGAATGCATGCTAGTGAGTAAAATTATAACATAATAATAGTCAATGCTAACTTATTTATAAGTTCCATGAAAAGGGTGATTTTATTTGAGTTCTGCTCTGGGAATCTCATCCAAGTGAGCATAGATGCAGAAGAAAATATTATTCGTAAAGTGAAGTAAAACTCTCACTCACTTGGAATCCAACACTTTGGAATTTGAGATCATTTGGAGAGAATCTAAGTTGACGTTTACCCTTGGGTTTTTGTTTTTTTTTAAAGCCATTTCCTCATGACAATGAGAATAAATAAAATAAATTTTAGGATTAAATATTTTTAGAGATTAAATTAAAAATAAAATTAGATTAAAAGGTAGGGCTAACTGTGTACAAGATTAAATTCAATTTCATAAAAAAGGTTATAAAAGAAAAGTAAGCAATTAATGAAATTTGATTTATAGCAGAAACATGAAACTTATTTACCTATTGCACAATTCTGTAATTTAGACTATTCCTTAAATTATTAGAAGGCTCACTGAGATGCCAGAACAATGTTGCAAAACAGCTCTTCCACACCCATATCTGCCGTCCTTCTCTCTTGCTACCCAATTCACTCCAGCCTGCTTCACAGCCCAACCCCAGAAGATCCCGGCCAAGTCCGTGCAGGGTGGAGGGGTCAGGGCAGGGCACCAGGGCTCTTCAGGTCTGCCTTCATGTAAAGGAGACAGATTTGGCTGGTGCTGCAGCTTCATCCCCACTTTGCCTGCCTGATCATTTGGTGCTGCATCTGCCACAGCTCCGCGGAGTCTCCAACTCTGAAAATGTCAGGCAGCTAAACCAATACCACAGCTTCTCGTTCCAGACTTCCCGCTTCAGGAGAAAAATAAACCCTTATTTGTTTTAAGCCACTGTGAGCTGGATTTTCTGTTATTTGAGGCCAAATGCACTCAAAACCAACACAACAGCCTAGCAGGGACAGGCTACTCAGAGATGTCAGTACTCACACTGGAGAAGCTAGAGCAAAACTGTATAGATGGAAGGTACCAGGCACCTTCAAACTGTCCCGTGCAGAGATGGAAGTCAGCGAGGCTCTCTGCAAAGGAGATTCAGGGCACCACAGCAGCACATGGCCACAGGTTGGTCAGCAGCTATCAAACAGAAACCTAAGCTGATCTATTTTAAACTGATGTTTTGCATCCTTCTAAGAAGTGATGTGGTTTCTCTCCATCAATAAAATATAGTTTCCCCTGAATCAAATTAGTTTCTTTATTTATTTCATTTTGGACCCTTATATTTTATTTTGAATTAAATATGCTCAGAACATCAAGCAAAACTGCACTCAGATATCAAAGTCAAATTTATTTGCATGTAATTTTTAAATTATTAACTGCCGTTCCACAGAGTTGTGTTTACAAGCAGAGGTTCAGACATTGGGACGTCTGGTTACCGATCCTAGCTGGACCACTTATTGACACTAAGAACCTGAACTTGAATTTCTGTGCCTCACTTTTTCATCTGAAAACAGAAACAGAGAACTCCCTAATAGAGTAAAGTATAATGAATAACGGAGATGCACAGTGTTTGGAGTGGCAACTGGACATTTAAGCAATGCAGCAGACAGTGTGCCCTCTACAAATCTCAAGCTTTATTATAGGTATTCAAAAGTTAATTTGGCTTTTCACATACATATAGACTATGCATGTGTGTGTGTGTGTGTGTGTGTGTGTGTGTGTGTAAAAATGTACATGTGCAATCATTTGCATTGTACTTTGAATTTTCAAATAAAAGATGGAATAATTTTTAAATTTCATTTAAAAAGTCCTTAAACAGCCCAAATTGTCCCTAGTGAATAAGTTCTCTTTAATCTAGTTGCCTCTATTAAAAAAGAAAAGTTCTGTGTCAAAGCTCATTTAGTAAAGATTAATGTAATGAAACTCTAAAATACTATTTTTGGGGGGGTATGGGAAATTTAACCCATGGCCTCACACATGCTAGTCAAGTGCTCCAACTGAGCCACACCCCCAGTATATTTTCATGAGAACTTGAAGAATGAGGATCCTTCTTCCAAGCCTTCTCAGGCTACCCTTCTTGGGCATCAGTTATGAATGTTTCTCCAGACAATCAATTAGCAAACATATGTTTCAAAGGGGATTGCGGGACCCCAGTCTCTTCCTCTTCTCTCTTGGGTTCCTGCTGATGAGGTGAACAGGCCTCCTTGTCCATGCACTCCTGCCTCGATGCACCGCCCCAGGCTCCAAAGCAGCAGGGCCAACTGAAAATGAACTGGAACCTCCAAAACTGTGAGCCAAAATAGACCTTTCCTCTTTTTAACTACCCAAGGTATTCTGTTACCGTAGTGGAAGTCTGACATGTGGCCGCTGTTTCTCCAGGTCTTCACTGCTCTCCATTTCTGTTTCAATGTCCCACTTTAGTGCCTGCTATGGTTTGGATGTAAGATGCCCCCCAAAACTTCCCATGTTAATGTAGGAAGATTCGGAGGTGAAATGACGCCACCAGGGGAGCGACACCTAATCAGTCCACCTAACTGGAATGGACTGACTGGATAGTACCTGCAGGCAGGTGGGATGTGCCCTGGAAGGGGCATCTTCCCGGCGGCCCCCTCGCCAGCCCCCTCTCCCTCTCTGCTCCCTGACCCTCCGTGAGCTGAGCAGCAATCCTCTGCCACACTCTTCAGCCGTGATGCTCCACTTCACGTCGGGCTCTAGCAATGGAATTGGCCGAGCATGGACAGAACCACTGAAACCGTGAGCAGAAATAAACTTTTCCTCCCGCAGTTGTCCTTGTCAGGTGTTTCTGACGAGCACAGTACCTCTTAGCCTCCTGCTCTTCTGGAGTTGACATGTTGCTGCTTGAGCATTAGCTCCTCTGTGACCTCGGGCATGGACCAAGCTTGGTCTAAGCTTCCCATCTTCTTCTTTCCCCTAGTGACAATGTCTTGTCTTTTCCCCATTCAGAACGGCTTGTTCCAAACAGCCAACCCTTCTTCATCTTCCCTCCTGAGCACCACGCCCTCGGGGTACCCCCGACTCAGTGTTCCAGGCTCCCCCGCATCCTTCCCCGCTTCCCGGGGCTTAGCATCCTGAGCGCCTCTCCTGTGCGATCACTATCTTCCAAATTGCCTTCCTGCTGCTGCTGCTGCTGCTCCTCAGCCGTGGCCAGAGCTGCTCTAAAAGCCCTGTCCCCTCGCCCGCTTGCCTATCTCCCGCATTAAGAAGTTGTCATCGTCACGTTCACTTGTCAGCAACATGAGGCATGAATCAGATATTTTACTCTTTCATCTCGGCAGCCCATAGAATTAGCATCTAATGACACAGAGGCAAAAAGTTAATGGAAATTTAATTGAAAAAACTACCATCCCAGCAAGAATTGAACCCGGTGGCCGTAGCAGGAGGTGGATATTTCAACCACGAGGCTCTGGAGTTCGGTTTAGCACACTTGGATGGAGATAGGTATCGCTTTGGTAAACAGATAATTCCCGTATTTTCCCAGTATTACCTTGGTCAACAAAAATGAGGAAAGGAGTGGATTCCAATTTAAATGTCAGGGCTATCTACTGTAAGGATTCTAAGCTGGGGAGTTTTAATGAAAATAGGATTTAATTTCCTGTAAATGTTTGAGTTCTTCAACGCTAATATATAGAAAAGATGAATATTTATAAATAGGAAATGCACCTCCCTCTCAGAAGAGCAGTTAGCCAGCCATACCCAAAGGAAGTCTGGGAGAATTTTTTTTCAAAATTATGAGTCACATCTTAGATTTTTCAAGCAAAAATGACATTGTCTGAATATTTTTGTCCCTTCCTTCTTTCACACTTTTCTTTAGTAGCTTAAGTCATAAGAAAAAAAAATGGGCCCCGTGAACAGTTTTCATGATCCAACGTGATAGAAGCCTGCGGGAATGTAAACCTCGGAGCTGTTATGATGTGTTTTATTTTTTAATTAATTAATCAAGCTTCATCGGTATTTCATATCCAGATTAACCTAGAACTTCTGCCCAATCTGCATTATTTAGGTGAGGTTTCCTGAGCAACGTAAGAACATTCCAGAACAGAGTTGAGAGCAAAGTCTACCCTCACCCTTCAATGGCCTTCTGCATGTTAGAGTATTTTGTTCTTGTGCCTAGTTGAATGGCTGCAGACATTACAGAATGCCATCGGATCTACATAAACCCTCAAAACGT